AGAAGTCGGACCCCAGCGCTGCGCCGCCCGCACCGCCACGGGCCGGTGCCATGGCAGCCGGTGCAGCCGCCGGCGGTCTTGCCGCTGGTGCGGGAGCGGCCGCCGTCGACTCGGATGCCGGCGGCGGCGGAGGCGGCGACGGCGATCTGGCCAGTGCCCTCGCGGCCGCCCTCAACCAGCGCAAGGAAAACATGGGCGATTCGGACGAGGACGAGAGCGACGACGACTGGTAGCATTGGCGTGCCCTCATTGTAAATACACACGTGAGCCTGGCTACCGGCTTGCTGCTCGTTGGAACAAGCAGCGGTGATGCTCTGAAGCGGCGAGACGGGGAAAGGTGCCCGGCGACTGAGCGTAGACCCATGTGTGTGCGGTCCATCTTGCCGCCGTTGGGTGACGCTTGCGGAGAGTGAGGACGAATTGCGGTGGCCTACACGTCGACCCGAGCGAAGCGGCCGGCTGCAGCGATCTCGAGGGCGGGTGAACACAATTCGGCTACGACTTGCCCATCTCCTCCTTGGTCGAGCGCGGGCGACGAGGCTGACGACGATCAGCGCGGGTGCGGCCTTGGCTACCTCGGACGGCGGTAGGTGGCAGGTCTGGGGTATGGACGGCGTCGCGCTGCGATACGGCCGTTTTGGAATTCGAAGCGCTCGTCGTCTCGAGTCCCTCGTGCGCATCCAGGTGGTTTGACTGCACGGTCGCATCTTCTCGGCCGACGGGATGGGCAGGTGCGACGTTCAGAGCGGGCGTGTCAGGCGGCACGAAGAGATGCCAACCGTCGAGGTGAGCCGTAGGGTCGTCGGTGTACCTCGTCACCTCGAGACGGTGGTAGCGGCAGTAGTGGTCCGACACCATGATGAGGGCCGCGGAGGGACGGAAGACGCATACGGTACTCGGGGACGTGGTTCGCCGAGGATGCTGGCCATTGCGAACACGCCGCGGTGATCGTGGGGCCGCACCGTTCGCACGTCGCGGTAGACCTTGCCTAGCTCGCCCAGTGCGATTCCGCCCATCGTGACGGTATGCGTCGATGCCGTCTTGGTCGGTTTGGACCGGATCGAAGCGGGTCGACGAGCGGACCCGGCAGATGGGGCGGGTATGGATGCGATGGTGTCTAGGCAGGAGCTGGTCGATGTACATAACTAGAAGAGCCGGCCTTTTTCCTGTCAAAGAGGGGGAGGAGGGACGAGACGTACGACGGCTTACCTCCCCGGTGCGAGCAGAGTCGAGCTGCCCGTGTCCGTCGAGATGAGGACCGTAGCCCGGGGCGGTGGGGACCCGGGGCGTTGCCGCGCACGCCTTCCCGAAGCGTGGTGGGAGCAGGCAGGCCTGCATGCTCAACTCCGTCCTCGCACTCGTACAACTGTGACGTGCTAGACCTAGACTCACATCCAGCGTGGATATCGTCGCCGGCCATGCTCTGGCGTCAACTCGAGCCATCGCCAGCACGCATCGCCAAGGGTATTGCAGCAGATTGGATTGCGCAGAGAGCGGGTTCAGATGGCCATGCAGAGCAGTAGCGATGCTTCGCAGCGATTCGAGCGAGGAGTGCCCGGAGGTGGAGCGTCGACACGTGCAGGCAGGCTATCTCGCTCGTGCCGTGCATGGGTATCGACAGACGAAGCAGGCCGACAGGAAGCGGAAGGGTACATGTTCGACGCTGCGGTCGTGGCGAATCGGTCGACTTGAGCGGGCCGGGCCGGTCTTTTTGAGCTCGCGGGCTTTGTGCTCCATGAGCCGGTGACAGTCTATCCGTCCCTGTGCTCGGGCTAAAAGACAACGTCGGTGTGGTCCGAGACGGACACGCCGCGGGCCAGCCAGGCCGCCAGGGATGACACCGACTCGTCTTCTCCGTCTCCCGGTGTGCGGACGGCCTGTTGGCAGCGCTGCGGCGGAGGCGTGGCGGGAGCAGCGAGACTCGCCGATGACGCTGCCTGATACGGGTCGATGACGCAGGTCGTCGATGTTGGCGAGCCCGACCTGGGCGTGATATCGGCTCGGCGCATTGTGAAGGAGGGAGACGAGTAAAAGGCTGGGCTTGAGCGCGGTGCCGCATCCGTCGCCTCGCGTCGATCAGAGGTGCCGTCCTGGGGAGGCGATGGCGGCGATGGAAGTCGGGTGGGGGAGGGGGCGGGAGTCGAGGGCGGATAGAGGAGAGGGAGCGGGGCTGTGGGCAGGCCAGGATGTGCGCCTCCTTCGTCCGTGGGCCGGTCGCTCTGCTGTGCGCCTTGCTGCTCAAACCAGCCTCCTGCGCCCTGGTGCGCGGTTCGGGGCGTAGCCGTGCTGGCGTGGTCGCCCTTTCGGTCGCGAATGCCCTGCTCTCGTGCCGTCGCGCCGTTGTCGCCCAAATGAAGTAGCCCCGTAAGGCACTCGAGCAGAGGACCGTCCTTTTCCTCGTCGCCGCCGCCTGGAGGATTGGGGGTCTGGAGGGGGTCTGAGGAGTTGGCCGCCGCGCTCGCCCCCCAAACTGCTCGATTGGCTGTGGGGCGGATCTCCTGCCAAAGGGACTGGATGGCTGCCTCCCGCCGGCGCAGCCTGGCCTCCCGAGTCGCCAGGGAGCGTTCCCTCTCCCAATGGGCCTGCTGGAGAGCAAAAGTCGGAAAGACCGGCGAGGGCGGGCCGAGCTGCTCTTCCTCCATCGCCGTGGGATCTGTCGAGGGGCCGGCCGAAGCGTCGCTGAGATGAGCTAGAGAGCCGTCTCGGATGCCCCGCTTGATCTCCTCGAGGAGCGAGATCACCTTCTTCATGCCGTTGCGCCTACGCCGGCGCCGTCCTCGGTGAGCGGGAGGCTTTGACTGCTGCTGTCCTGCCATTGCCGGAGGACGGCCGGGGCGGGATGGGTGAGAGGAAGGCCTGGGCGCCTGCTGTACTGCCATTGCCGGAGGACGACCGGGGCTAGATCGGTGAGAGGGTCCACGGTAAGCGGGAGGCTCTGGCCTTTGCTGACCTGACATGGCGGGACGTCGGCCGGAGTGGGGGGGATGAGGAGTGCGGCGAGGCATGGTTTCGCGGTGGCGGAAGTTGGAAGACGGATGTGTGTGTACCGGCGATATCTTGGCGGTGAGGAGGTGTGTTGAGGTGAGAGAGGGGAGGAAAGGTGGCAGGCTCTGGCACAGTTGATCCACCGTCGCCCCGTGGTCGCTGAGCTCTGTGAGCATGCCAGTCAAGTCGCCTCGCGTCCGGCAACGCGCCACTTTGTGCGACGCGCCACCTTCGGGGCGTGCCAGACCGTGGCCTTGTGTTGGTCTTCGAAAGAAGTCGGCCACACGCACTTGCGGAGAAGCTGACTCTGTGCAGATAGCAGCTCCTTCGTGACTCGGCGCTGGTTTGACGAGCATCTTGATGGAGAGTCGAGGTCTCGAAAGCGAGGCGCAGTGAGCGAGAGGGTCGGCGTCGGCTTTGAGCATTATCGGCCCTGTCGAGAGTTTGTACCTGTCGAGACGACCTCGGCAGGGAGAAGCTCAAGCGAGTCTGGACGATGTTCCGACACACATGGCCGCGGGGACGAGGGTTGCACGAGCAGAAGCGCGCTTAGCAGTCGGGCAAAGATGTTGCGGGCGTACGCGTTACTCTGCCGTTCGACGAGAAGCGTAGATACAGCGGGAATCGTGAGTCAAGACAAGTCGAAGCATTCGGCGTCGTAACAAGGGTATGGTATGGAGTCATCAGGCGGGAGAGACGGCGTCGTGAAGGACCTTCTCGCGCACAGCCGCGTTGTCGACGAGCGGGCGAAGCTTGGCGCTCTTGTCAAATTTGATCCACCGCCTGTAGAAGTAAGGCAGCTCCTCGTTGAATCCATGTGCGACCTGGTCCTTTGTCGGCACGCTGAAGACGATGTCGAGCTCTTCGAGAGTGAGCTGCTTCGTCTCCGGAACGAAGAGGAAGATAAGGCAGAAGGCGACGAGGTTGAGACCCGCGTAGAAGCCGAACGCGCCCGTCGGCGTCATGACCTTGAGCATGCGTGGGAACGTGATGGAAAGCACCGCCGCCCAGAACAGGCAGGTTGCGACGGCCCAAGCCATGCCCTGCTCTCGCTGGGCGAGCGGGAATACCTCGGCCGAGTAGGTGAAGGGAACGGGACCCTCTCCGGGCGAGTAGAAGGCGGCAAAGAGGTAGACGAAGAACGCGACCAGTCCGATCCTCGTCTTGCTGTCTTCGGGTCGAATCAAGAAGCAAAGACCCGCTGCAAGCAGGGTCCAGGCCATTTGGGGGAACGTGAACAATAGGAGGTTCCTACGGCCGTACGTGTCAATCGTAAAAAGCGCGGGGAACGCGAAGACGAAGTTGACCGCGCCGAATCCGAGGGAGGCGTAGAGCGCCTGCTTGGCCGAGTAACCTCCTTCAACGAAGATCGACGAGCTATAGAAGGCCACGATGTTGATACCGCACATCTGTTGGGCCAGCATCACCACGCTCGCTGCGATGGTAGCTCGACGGACTCGAGGGATGGTGAAGAGCTCGAGGAAGCGCTTGACGTAGGTTTCGCCGCGGATGATTTTGGACTCCTCGACCAACATCACGTGGATGTAGTATAGATCGCGTGCAGCCTGGATCCTGTGGTGTCGTAGACGCAGCAGAGACTTCATGGCCTCCTGGTACCTTCCCTTCTTCATGAGCCAACGGGGAGACTCGGGACAGAGGTAGATGAGGCAGGCGAGCGGGAGCGCGGGGATGAAGGCGGACCCGAGCTGCAGGCGCCACGCGATCTTCCCCACATCGGCAACGACCACGTTGGCGGCAAAGCCTGTGCGCACACATGAATGGACACATGTTCCATTGTGACGGGGCGTCTCGGGGCTGTCAGCGGAGAGTATCTCGACGAAAGGAAGCACGGACGGCGCTGGTGACCCCGCAGAAGCTCACCCAAAAAGATTCCGAAGGCCGTCCACAGTTGCCAACCCATTACAAGAGCACCTCTTATTTGCGGCGGAGCATTCTCAGCGGCGAAGACTGGCACTGTAGAACCTTTTGCGCCCATCCCGAGGCCCAAAATCAAGCGTACGACGAAGAGTTGCTCCCACGAGGTGGTGAAGGCGCTTCCGATGGGTGTGGCGATGAGGACGAGGGCGGTGATGAAGATGCAGCCGCGGCGGCCAAAGAAGTTGTTGAGCGGGTCCGAGAGCCAGCATCCGCACAGGGCCGAGGCGATGTAGGGGGCGGCGTTGATGGCGCCGACGAGCCACTCGTGCTTCTCAGCGTCGGGGCCGGTGGTGGCGATGCCGAACTCGTCGGGGAAGCTCAGATTGGCGCCGTTGCTGCCGGTCTGGTCCCATCCCTGCGTGGCGGCGCCAATGCTGCACGAGAAGATGGTGAGGTAGAGGGTCCACGGGTGCGACCAGCGGTGGGTGAACTCGTGGGTGATGGCGTCCTTTTCGTCCTGGTCGAGCTCGGCGAGCTGCTTGTACATGCCCGGGTCCTGGGCGACGAGGGCGCCCTTCTTGAGCAGCTCGGTGTGCTCCTCGAGGCCCTTTTCGCGCGCAAAGACCTCGACATCGTGCAGCAGGCGGTCGCGCGGCACGCCCCACAGCGGGTTCTCGAGGTTGGGCTTGTGGGTGGCCGAGGCAGCGCCGTCGACGTGTTGGATCGACGAGTGGTCCTGGCTCGTCTTGGCGTCTTCGGTGAGGATCTTTTCGTTGGTGTCCTTGTGCTCGGACGAAGGTGAGAGCTTCTTGTCAAGGTCAGACATGGTGGCGGCGTCCTTCTCTCGGCGAAGCGAGGCGGAGAGGGCGGACAAATCGGAGGCGAAGGTCGGGAGGAGACTCGGTGTGCGACCAAGGACGTAGGGGACTGGGGAGATGGAGATTCGCGTCCGCCACGAGGGTAGGAATGGGGGCTCCGCTTCTTTATATAGACGGCGTTGCCCGGAGGGCTAGGCACATGCGCGACAGCTGGCAGGAACGCTCTAGGTCGAGGTCGACCTAAGGGTCAGGTGCTGCTTCCCCTGGATGCGAGGGCGAGGGCGAGGGGCAGGCAGGCAGGCTTCCCTCATTGCCGGAGCGCCGTTGCGCGCTTTGTCCGCGAGGGCGCGACGGCTCATCTACACACAGTACCCTGTACGGTCTGCACACGGCTCAAGTGCAGAGGCCCGCGGGGACAGAGGCGACTACCGATAGGAGCCGTGACGGGCCAAGTGGCAAGTCCGCCTGGAGGGCTCCAGAGATGGGCCGGCGACGAACGAGAGGCGGGGCTCCGCTTGCTCGGTGGTGGCGTGCGAGGAGGACGAGGGGGTGCCTGCTCTACGGCGTGCCGTCACGTATGATGGTTTGAAGCCGTGGGTGGGGTTGCATTTGAGCTACCCCGCACAGCATCGCAGCCGGCCTGTTTCAGGTGGGTTGGCTACGCGAGCCTGCCTCGGACAAAGGCAGGCAAGCGAGGCGGGGCAGCACAGGCAGGCAGGCTGCTAGGCTACGGAACGGTCAGTCGGCGCATTTGATGCGGCTGCTGTGTCCCTCTCGGATACAGAGGCTGGGGTGCGTGGGGGATGCATGGCAACGCCTGCAGAGGATCGTGAGCAGCCAGCCCGTTCGACCCGGCCGGGGCCCCCCAGTTCGCCCCGCCTTTGAGCTCGCCCGCCAGACCGACGCCCCGCGCATAGCAAATGGACCAATCAAGCTCGACCGATGCTTCGAGAACGATTCGTTCATGAATGACGACGGCGGCGGCGAGAACACCACCTGCTTCGCCGGGCGGCCCCTGCTTAGCTTTCGTCGACGCCGTCGAGCCAGAGTCTGCCCCTCATGTCTGCGAGCTTCACGGGAGTCGTGGTGGCAAGCTGGCGCTCTAGTCCAGGAGCAAGGAGGAGAGCAGTAGTCGTATGGTCGGTCCACACACAGCCTGGCCGTCCCTCCACTTCGGGAACAGGTCAAGAGGGTGTTCCGCCTCGGGGCGCGTGGGTGGCGTACGACGGCGAGGACGCCGGCCGGTGCCACACGGCGAAACCGAGTCGGCGGGCGGGCGGGCGGCGGCAGCCTTAGCGGCGGCGGCGGTCCAAGGCGGAGCAGGGCGGAGGTGCCCAACCGCCGCCTCCGAGAACTGAATTTAAAAAAACATTATCATATTGCGGGGCTCCGAGCCAAAAAGAGGGTGCGTACGGGCGCGCGCTGGGTACCGTTCTGCGCACCGCGGCAGCGCCACCACGTCGTCCGGGCAGCCGGTTCCACGCCTCCGCTTGCTCTCTCGACGATGTGCTGCTTGACTCCGCCTGCTTTACCGGCATCGTTTGGAATTCCTCCGAGACTGCAGAGCCGTATGTACGCGGTTCGGTGCCCGTCATGTCGGGGACGGAAAAAAGACGAGCACGGCGATGTTCGCCTGCTCGGAGCGAGACCAGGGCGGAGCTTCAAACGGGCCCGCACGGCCCTCGGCCTGCAAAAGGCAAGATGTCGACCAGGTGCGGCGTGGTATACCGCTTGCCGGTAGCATGTCGGCTTCCTTGGGCGCTTGCACATGCTGCCCTCGGCCGTCTCTGCCCACGGAAACCTCTGCCTGGCTGATGACTACCGTCATATTCCCGCCTGCCCGCCGTATCGGCGGGTACCGGTATCGACGGGCCAGCGCTCGTCGCGGATCCTCGGTGAGACTCTACGCTCCCTGCCTCGTGTCCCTGGCCTGCTCGACCCTCGGTAGCGTTTGGCGAGTTGCGCGCAACGTCGCTCCCTGCCCGCCGAGTGCCGCACCGGGCCGACCCGACCCTTTTGCGCCTCCACGCGATTGGCCCGTCTGCCAAGATTGCCAGACCTCCTGCAAACCCGGGCCACGCGAAGAGCCCGAGGGGTGCCAAGTTCGGTCTGGCAGCAGGCTAGGGTCAACCGTTAGCGCGAGGTGAAGCCCCAAATCACCTGCTCGGACCCCCCATCGCTTTTGTGCGCCACCTGATTTGACCTCGTGCTCATCGTCCCGGTCGTACCGGCTTGCACATCCGCCTGCGAGCGCGGGACGCGGCAGCCTTCCGCTTCCAGTTGGGAAGCCACGCATGTCTAGGTCCCCACTCAGTGCCGACCCGAACGCGGTACGGTGCTCACCCTCGATGTTAGCCCGGATGTGTGGAGCGGAACGAAATCTAGTCGCCACACCGAGTGCATGGCGGATCGAGCTGCTGAAGCAAGCCAGCCTCGTCACCGGCTATTCCTGCCAGGATCGTCTTGCGCACTGGCTCTACAGAGTAGTATCACTTCATGGCGAATCGCGGTGCATGCTCTGCTGACAAAGGTTTGTATGGGTTCAACGGCGACCCCACCGTCGTGGCCTTAGTTGGTTGGTCGCCACCGTAGCATCATCGACGCCTCGTATCGGCGAGGCCGGCGTCTATGCCGATGCTCGATTCGAGCTCCGACTTTTGCGGGTCGCTTTGCCGAAGCACCACCAAGCAAGCAAGCACAGGCGGAAGCTGCCGGAAGGGGACTGAGATGATCCTTCCCAACGTAATTGCCGATGGGTTGATACCGATCGGGCTTGTTCATTCGGTCGACCCGATTGCACGCATGGAAGTCGGCTAACGGCTCTCGGGACTTCGGAGTTAACGAATGCGGCTTCGGAACGTTCTCGCACCTCGGTGCATCATAGTCATCCTTGCCCTCGTAGGAGGAGGAACAAGCAAGAAGGGATGACGACGCCCGGACCGGCCCTTTTCAAGTGGAGCGGAGGGAAGACTTGTCGGCCGTTGGAGATTCTCGACTTCGGTCAACAAGCATCCTCGTCGTGTGCGACACCGCGTCTTTCGCATCGACCATCCGCACCACACCCAGCCAACCCCCTTGAACACACCTCGACATGCCTTCGGACTCCAACGTGCCCGCCAGCGTGACTGCTTGGCAGTACAAGCGCCGCGGCCTGCTGCCTGCGACGCTCACAAAGAACACCTCGGCCACGCTGCCGCAGCTCAAGGCGGACCAGGTGCTGGTCAAGGTGCACGCCGCCGCCCTCAACCCGGTCGACTGGAAGCTCGCCGCCTCGGTCCCCGGCTTCCTCCAGAAGCTCCCCGCCACGGCCGGCAGCGACCTGGCGGGCGAGGTCGTCTCGGTCTCGCCGGGTCCAGAGACCAGCAAGAAGCCCTGGCTCAAGGCCGGTGCCCACGTCTACGGCTTTGTGCCCGCCGACAAGGGCCTCCGCACCGGCCTGGGCAGCATCTCGACTTACGCCGTCGTGGACGCCAACGTGCTGGCACTCAAGCCCGAATCGATGTCGTACGAGGATGCCGCGGGAATCACCCTCGTCGGCCTGACTGCCGCTGTGCTGGCCGAAAAGATCAAGAAGGGCGACAAGGTCCTCATCCTCGGCGCCAGCTCGGCCGTCGGCCTCTTTCTCACGCAGATGTGCAAGACCGAGGGCGCGGCCAAGGTCGTCGCCACCGCCTCGGGCGAAAAGTGCGACTTCGTCAAGCAGCGCGGCGTCGACGAGGTTATTGATTGTGAGTCGGCGGTGCACGAGTTGAAACGGGGGCACACGAAGGCGGACGACACCATACTGATGACCGAATGCCGCTCCCTTCCGACGACGACGACGACGCGGGCAGACCGAGCCACCGACGCCGACAAGGAGTTCAAGCTGCGCTACGCATCGGACCCCTTCGACCTCATCCTCGACTGCGTCGGCACGACGTCGACCTTCTTTGCCTCGCCCTCGTTCCTCAAGAAGGACGGCGTGTACTACAACATCGGCGCATCGGTGCTCGACGGCAGCAACCTCTTCTCGTCGTCGATGGCCTTTGCAAAGGATGTCGTCCGGGCCCTCTTCTGGCCTAGCTGGCTCGGCGGCACGCCGAGGAAGTACGTCATGACGGGGCTCCGGCACGACCTCATGCCGCGCCTCGAGCAGTACGTCGCGCGCGGGGACATCACGCCCAAGGTCGACTCGGTCTTTGGCTTCGACGAGGCGCCCAAGGCCTACGAGCACCTCCTCAAGGGCCGCGCCCTGGGCAAGGTCGTCGTCAAGGTCATCGACGCTTGATACCCGTCTCATCGTCGCTGGAAACCTCGGTTCCCTGCTTTCGGAACGGCACGCCTCCCGGATGCTTGTCACTCGTGTCATTCGTGCTCTTTCGTCGTCGTTCGTTGAATACCCACGCCCTGCATGAGACTCGTCCTTCGGTCGACGTAGAGTGAGATCGGCGGCCGACATGGACGGCCGAGCGATTGCTAAACCTGCTTGTGCGAATCTTCGCTCGACCGCCGTCATGTGTTGCGACCTGCTGTGCTGCGCTTGCAGTCCGACAGATTGAGCTCGATAGTTTGCCCTCTTTCACGCACTCGGACCACGTCGAGGTGTCCCGACGACGGTCCGGACGCAGCGAAGGGTCTCGGGTCGGTGGAGGCGAACGGAAAAGTGCGGCCCCGTGCGAAGGGTGCACCTGTGTTGGTCTCGTTTTCAGGACGGAGCGAGGGGCTCATTCTTCGCCTGTCTCTTGCGTCGTCGGCAACTATTCTCCGCCACCACCACCGTCTTGCCTTCTCGACTGCTCCGAATGCTCCGTCGCACCTCGACGCTTGCTCCTGCTCCTGCTCTACTTTGCCGGCCATGATCCGGCCGCTGCGTTATATCGCGCTGGCGCTCTCCCTGCTCCTCTCCCTGCATTACCTTGCCACTCTTACGTCTCCGTCGTATTCGTCCGCCACCTCGAGCTCGCTGCAAAGCCTGCGAACAAAGTGGAAGCCAGCACCCGCTCCCGTCCCGCACCCCGTCGTCGTCGACACGTCGACTGGAGATACGAGCAATGTGCCCTTCGACCCGCGCAAGCCCTCGGCGGCCTTTGTCATCCTCTGCCGCAACGACGACCTCTCCAAGATGCTCATGACGCTCCAGACGCTCGAGTCGACCTTTAACTCGAAGCCGCACAACCGATACCCCTACGTCTTTCTCAACGACGACGAGTTCTCGCAGCGCTTCCGCACACGCATCCGTGCCGCCATCCCGGCCGACGTCAAGGTCGAATTCGGCCGGGTCGAGGGCGAGGCGTGGGGGATGCCCAGCTGGATTGACCGCCCCAAGGCCGAGGCCAGCTGGAAGAAGGCGTCGCACGGCGGCATGCCCTACGGCGGCTCGGAGAGCTACCGCAACATGTGCCGCTTCCAGTCCGGCTACTTTTTCCGCCACCCGCTCGTCCTCCCCTACCGCTACTACTGGCGCGTGGAGCCCGACGTCCGCTTCCTGTGCGACCTCGAGGACTTTGACCCGTTCCGCTACATGCGCGATCATGGCAAAAAGTACGGCTACGTCCTCTCGCTCCACGAGATCCGCTCGACGGTCAAGACGCTCTGGGTCCACGTCCGCAAGTGGTACCAGCAGAACCCGCAGTACCTCCACGACAACAATGCAATCAACTTCATCACCGATAGGAAGGAGATGGGCTACTCGATGTGCCACTTTTGGAGCAACTTTGAGATCGCCGACATGGAGCTGTGGCGCAGCGAGGCCTACCTCTCGTTCTTCGAGTACCTCGACAAGCAGGGCGGCTTCTACTAGTGAGTCTCCTGTCGCTTCACGGGAAGAGCCACCCGCTCGACGACACTCGATCGGCGCACTGACGCTTCTCGCCCTCGCCCTCTCTCACCGCCCCCTTCTCCCTCGCCACCGCGCGCCGCAGCGAACGATGGGGCGACGCACCCGTCCACTCGATCGCCGCCGCGCTCATGCTCGACAAGAACGAGATCCACTACTTTGACAACGTCGGCTACATGCACGCGCCCTTCCTCCACTGCCCCAAGGACCCGCCCGAGAAGCAGAACCGCTGCTGGTGCACGCACGAGACGTCGCTCATCTACGACGACAACCACTGGAGCTGCCGGTACGACTGGGACGCCATCTTTGGCAAGGACCCCGAGCGCGAGCGCGCACGCTTCAACGAGCTCACCCCCTGAATCTTGTCTGGAATTTTCATAGGACCGTTGCAAAGCTTGCTTCTTCGTCTGTGCTTGTGCGTGATGCTTTGGTCTGGGCAGCGTGTAGCTGGTGAATCCAGTCGAGCATGTCGCTCCCTCGTGCTGCTGCAGTAGTCGCACTTCAACTCGTGTCCTTGATGCATGAGGGAGGTGCAGTATGTCAAGCATGCAATCTTCCCAGGGTCCAACATGGAGACCTTGAGTCAATCCTGCCTGCCTATGCTGTAGTAAGGCAAGCAGTCTTTGGCAAGGTGGGTGCCATTGCCCAGCTTATGGCCACCAAAGCATCAAGGGAGGAGGTGACTGCACACTTTGCACCCCTTCAAGGAAAGATGGCAGACCAGGTTGCTCTCATCACCCTGAGGTTGAAGATGGTTGGATCTGTGCTGCACCAGAGAGCTTTGATCTCTGCTGCAGTTGCAGGCCACAAGGCATGAGCAAAGCCAGACACCTGCTGTGTTGGCATTGTAGATGCAGCCACAGGCAATGAGGATGGCCATTGGCCCGTCCTCCAATGTGACCCCTGTTCTGAAAGGACGGGGGTTGATGTCCCGCTCCCAGGGGAGGACAAGGCCGTCGCTGAAGGCCTCAAGCGCTGGGACGAGGTTGAACCCGTCCTGGCTGCTGTTGAGGCCAAATACGGCCCCCTGGAGCAGGACAAGGAGGGCATGCCGGTCCTCAGCTTCAGCCGCACCGGCTACAGCCGCACCAGCTGGTGCGGTTGGCCTACCGCCTCCACATCACGACTCTCGTCTGCGACGGGCACACCATCCGGTGTGTCTGCGTCGCAGTCCTTGAGATTGTGTGTGTTTTGGCGCTGGCATTTGCCTCGTACGGCAGCCGGTGCTGGGCAACCAGTCTGCCCTTGTACCTCGCTCGTGGCGCACTGCAGACCTCGTTTGCACGGCGCTGCCACAAGCAAGGCAGGGACTTTTTGGCCAAGGTGGCCCCTGCCATGCTGATCAAAGCCTTGGGCGAGGCACGACCACTCACACACATCAACTGCCAACTCGAGCACAAGATCTTCAACATCCTCCTGGGCTTGCATCGTGCAAATGGCATCAAGGCCTTCCTTGAGTCATGTACCTGCCAAAGGCCAGGCTTTGTTGGGTGCAAGCTCTGGGAGGCAGGCATTGAAGCAGGCCCAACAGAAGTCCAGGGGTCATCTCATCAGCTCTTTGAACTGTCAGCATGGCCTAGTGGCTGAGCTGCACCTCAACTGCTTTGTTTCAAACAGGGCAGTCGTCGTCTTCGCATCAAGCTTGTCCTGCAATTTCCTGCTTGATGCAGCATGAACCAGACTTGTACTGTAGCTCGAGCTTCATCTTGCAAGTGCAGGCGTGCAAGCGTGCAATCGCGCAAAGGAGGGTTGCACACGAGCGAGCGAGGGAGACAACAGAACAAAAGAGCGTGCAGGGGGAGGACGGGCAGGCAAGACCGGGAAAAGAATGCAAAGAAAGTTGGGTGACAGAGACGAGGCTGCAGACCCGTCTAGGCGATCTCGGTGACCGAGGCGGACACGTCGGTGGCTAGGTCGTCGTCGTTGCCGCCCCGGTAGATGCGGTAGCCGTGGATGGTGGAGCGTACCTGCTCATCGCCCGGGTCGTCGGGGAACATGGGCTGTTGGCGGCGGGCAAGGCAAGGCAAGGCAAAGCAGGTCAAAGGCAAAGGCAGGCGAGGATCCGAGACAAAGATCAGTCAACGTTGCTCTTCTCGAGTCGCGCCTCCGGAGCAATCCACGAGCAGACTCACCTCGCGGAACCACTCTCCGAGCTTCTGCACCTTCCAGCCCTTGACCTCGGCGAGGTCAAAGAAGCCCATGTCCTTGTAGGCGAGGTGCGGGCGGTGGTGAGTGAAAAAGACGAGGACGCAGGGCGTGCCGAGCGCGTCGTTGGACGCCTCGTCGGCCGACGACGGATCGGCGAGGCAGCGCTCGCACGTCTCGAGCAGCGCCGGGTGCGCCTGGTGGTTAAAGACGAGGTCGGACATGAGGATCAGGTCGAACTTGGCCGAGCCGTCGTCGCTGAGGTGGGCGAGGACCGGGGAGGCATCGGTGCCCCAGATGTAGCCCTCGGCGGCGGCGTAGCCGGGACCCTTGTAACTGCTCTGGTTGTCTGGCCCGCAGTTGTACGCCACATTCTTCCGGAGGTTGCCCAAGAGGTCCGGATCCGGGTAGTCGGTGGCGACGACGTGGCTGGCCTCGGCCCAGTTGCAGACGATCGAGGGCAGGCCCGCCGCCGCTCCGAGCTCGAGCACCTTTTTGCCCTTGGTGAGCTTGTTGGAGTGGGCGCAGAGGAAGTCGGACATGACGAAGCTGGCGTTCCAGGCGAGGTGGCCCCAGAGCGGGTGGCTGCCGACGAGGTGCAGCGTGACCTCGGCGTCGGTGCCCGGGAACTCGTAGCTGGTGGTGGTGGGTGGCGGCGTCTTTGGCCGGAAGTCGTCTGGCTCGGCAAACATGTCAAAGTCGCCTCCCTCGTCGCTCGACGATGAGCCGTCGGCGGTCTCACCGGCGGTGTCGGCTCGAGCGTCGACCTTGTCTGCGGCGGCCACGACGACCTCGACCGGCTCGGATGCGGGCGCCGGGGCGGCCTTGGCCTCGGTGATTGCAGGCGCGACGAGAGTCTCTGCAGCCGATCCTTCGGCCGCCGTCGAATGAGTGCGCTCGCTGGGTGCCGAGGCCTCGCGCTCATCGCTACTGCGAGGCTGATCCGGCGAAGCGGCAGACGTCCCGGCGGCAGCAGCAGCAGCAGCGGCGGCGGCGGCGGCGGCGGCCGTGCCGACTGCCGCTGTGGTCGCAGTGACAGAAGGAGTGTTGCCCTCGTCCTCGGTCTTTAGGTCTTGGGCGGCCTCGGCCTTTGGCAAGGTCGAGACTGCCTCGTCGCCTGCCGTTGCAGAGCTTGGAGAGCCGGCCGAGGCCGAAGGAATCTGCGCAGCCTCGTGGCCCTGGTTGCTGCTGGTAATAGGCGAAGCAGGGTCCTGGCTCGGAGACGCAGCGGTGGCGGCAGGGCCTGTTGTCGAGGCGCGCCGAGCAGGATGCTTGGGCCCGAGCGCCGGTGCCAGGCCATTCTGTCGCGGAGTGCTCTGGCGAGCAGCGACGGGCGAGGGGCCGGGTGCACGGAAGGACGAGGGCGGCGCAGCGCCGTTGCGACGTGGCGTGCCGTGCGGACCGACACTCCGACCTTCCCCGCCGTCCTTGTGGTCCTGGATGCTCTCGACGGCTTCGTATGTGGTGGTGTCGCCAGTGTACGGCGATCCGAGCTCGCTGCCGTGGCTGTTGCTGAGACCGCCGGCACCGCCAAAGTGGCCGATGCTCGAAGGCGGGCCCATGTTGTCATAACGGAAGCTGCTGGTAGACGCATTCGACAGGCGTCGGCGCTCGCGGTCAAACGTCATGGATCGGCGGCTCTCGAGGTTGTTGAGCGTCGACTCGAGCTGCTGCTGGATGCGGCTGATCTGGTCGGTGACGGCGCTCGTGCGGTGCTGGATCTCGCTGTTCATCTGCTCGTCGGTGAGAGCGCTTCCGTCGCCGTTGGTGCTGCTGGCGTCCTTGCCGCCATGGCCGCTCTGGCTTCCGTGACCCAGGCGGGAACCTGCGGTCAGCCGCACGGAGCCGCCAGTCAGTGGCCGGCCCATCGAGATCCGCTGCTCGGCCAGAGCGCGCGACTTCATGATGCTCAGCTCGCTGTTGTGCGACATCGCGCTGCCCGCCGGCGAGTCGGACCGGATGCGCTGGGCGTTGTCCGCCATCATGCCGAGCTTGGAGAGCGAGCCGAAGTCGAACTCGCCATCGCCCATGCCCGACGTCGTGACCACGTTGCGGATCTCATCGATCATGGCCTCGCGCTCGTGCTCGAGGGTGTCCATCGCGTCGCGCATCCGCGCGAGCTCGGCCTGGGCCTTTTCGCGGGCCTGCTCCGTCTCCCTGAGCTGGAGCTGGATCTGCACCTGCTCCATGTCCCTCTGCTGCAGCGTCGAGCTGAGCCGGCGGGACTCGCGCCGCTCGCGGTCGACCTTGAGCCGGAGGTCGTTGGCCTCCTTGGTCAGGCGGTCGACGAGCTGCTGGATCTTTTCAAACTGCTGCTTCCACATGTCGCCCTCGCTCATGAGGAAGGCGAGGCGCTTGTTGAGCCTCCCGATCTTGTTCTCGAGCCCGTCGCGTGCGTCGACAAACGTGCTGGCGCGCTTGCGCAGGGCGGCGATGGCGGCCGTCTCGGTGGCGCTGGCGCTGGTCTGCGTGTCGGTGCGGAGCTTGAGGACCTTTTTGAGGAAGCTGGGCTTGGTGCCCTCGTGCAGGACCTGGTCAAAGGCGCTGAGCACGGCACCCTGGTCCCACCAGTGAGGCGCCTCGACGCGGTCGTACGGCAGGCTGGTCGACTTGGACTCGACCCTGCTGAGCGGGCGAAGCCGGCCGGCGGGGAACGCCTCTGTGATCTCGCGCGGGGGCCCGTAGTCGGCCGAGGAGAAGCCGAGGGCGTTGACGAGCTTGCGCCGCTTCTTGTCGCGGACGCTCCGGGTGCTGGGGGCCTTGAGCGGCGGCCGCGGGCAGTTGACAAAGTTGATGTCGAGGTCGACGACGCAGACCTCCTTTGCCGGCTTGGCGATGCTTCGCAGCTCGGTATTGAGGGCGATGAGCCAGGACCCAGGGTCTTCGAGGTAGATCTTGACGTCGCGGGCGTGGCAGATCTGGTGGGTGACGCCCTTCCAGCCGCAGAGCTCGAGGAGGTACTTGACCGTCTCGACGGCGACGCCGAGCAGGGCGGGGTGGCGCGAGAAGAAGAGGACACGGCCCGCCGGCGAGAGGGCAATCTCGCAGATGGTGAGGATGTTGTCGACGGACAGCGTCTTGAAAAGCGGCCACATGACAAAGTCGATGCTGACGAGGCCTCGTCCCCAGTCGAGCGCGCCCGGGAAGGTGCAGACAAAGTTCAGATCCTCGTCGGGCGACTCGAGTCGGAGCGTCTCACCGAGCCTGGGCGCCGGCTGGCGGAGGATGGCGGCCATGAGGCGGTTGTGCATCTCGATGTTGCGGCTGTACTTGTGCCAGGCGGCCTTGTTCCAATCGGCGAGCAGGTTGTAGATCGGGTATCGCGACACCAGGCAGATGGCGTAGGGCATGAAAAAGGTGTTGTTCTCCGGCATGAAGGCGTAGTCGTGGGCGCTCGACTCGAGGTCGTCATCGGGCTGCTCGCCGTCATCTGCATCGACGAGGGGCGACTTGCCGTTGCGCGCGCCGGCCCGGGCCTTTGCGAACCGGCCCAGCTCCTTCTTTATGGCCTTGGCGCGCTTGTCGTCCGCCGCGCTCCACACGGTCAGGACCACGCCGTAAAACGTGGCCACGCCCGTCGAGAGTTCGCCCGAAGCGCCTGCGAACCCACTGAGGCTCGAGGGCGCACCTTCGAGCCCATAGCCCTCGCCGACGGCGCTGGCGGCGTTGTCCTTGTGGACGTCCGCGGGCGACACGCCGAGGGTGGCGGTCGCCTTGCGGTGGTCGGTCGAGACGCGGGCGTTGAAGGATGGCGCAGACGACTTGATCGTGGGCACGCTGAAGGAAAATGTGTGCGAGGTGGACATGGGCGGATAGTTGCCCGGACCGGCGGTCACCTCGATCTCGCGAGTAAAAGAGAGCTTGAGCGCCTTTGAGAGGACGCGTGCCGTCTCTGCCCGCTCGATGCCGCCGCGGCCATCGCTGAGCTCGATGTACTTTGGATTGGAGCCCTTCTTGGCGTCGGCGTCCCAGGCGGATCCGTCCTTTTTGGAGCCCGAGTTCTGGCTCGTGGTCCTCGAGATCTCGACCGAGGCGGCGGCGGGGTCAGAGGGCGGCGGCGAGATCGAGCAGCCGAGCACCTCGGGCCTCCAGAAGCGGCCAACTGCGCCCTCGATGTGGTGGACGCCGGCGACGCAGTCCTCCTCGGCCAGCGTCCATACCGCGGGGTCCTTTGGCAGGCCAAAGACGGCATAGAGGTGGGCGATGGTGTTGCCGTCTGCGCCCTTTGCGCCGTACGAGGCGCTGGTGCTGGTGTGCGCCAGCTGCTGAGACATCTGGTGCCTGTGCGAGGTGCTGTTGTAGCCACCGCACTGGTCGTGATGGGATCGTTGGTTGGGCGTGGAGGCGCCCTTGCGACTTGCGCCTGTGCTCCTCGTCGAGAGGTTGGAGAAGGAGAGCTTGGAGCTCAGCTTGCGCGTGCGCGACACTGGCCGTCCCGATGCATCGGGCGAGTCTGACATGGGTGCAAGTGCTCCTTCAGCGGCAGCCGCGGGAGCGTCGGCTGCAGCGAAGAAGCGATCCGCAAGGCAGTCCTGCGGACCAGACAGTGGGACAGGCCGGCCCCTGTCTCGCTAGCGCTGCTCGAGGTCCGACCAGTGGAGAGCGCAACAGACGGCAAATCGACTCGGTGCCTGCGAAGCTAAGGCTAAGGCGTCGGCGTGACCTGCGGTCGAGTTGTGCGGCGCTGTGCGTCGAGCTGTACCTCCGGGGGGTCTGAGCGGGTGGCGGAGGGCGGGGCGAGGAGATCAGAAGATGCTGCCCTGTGTTTTCAAGGCTGCGGGGAAGGCAGTCGAGCCTCTGGGACGGCGGAGCGAGATGGTATAGTCGGGAGCGCGGGGGGAAGACGATTGCAGGATGGAGGAGGACGACAAGGGAGGGATGGAAGGGCGGGGTCAAGAGAGAGATAGGGCTTGGGTGCGAGTGCGAGGAAGATGGCGACAACGGAGAGATGGCCGTGGGCCTAGACGGGGCTTCTTCCGAGACGGGCAACGGTGTCGATGGCCAGATCGAGCGAGGTGGGGGTACGGTGTGTAGCGACGAACGAAAGACGAGGGCCAAGGCAGAGATGCGAGCGTGCGTCGGGTGCCTCTGTGTCGCCAGGGTGGCTGTCTCTACCTTCTCTCTCTTGGGCTGGCCGCCTGCCTGCGCCTTTGCCTGCGCCTGCGCCTGCGCCTGCGCCGCTAGCAAAAAAAAAGAAGGAAAATTGCATCCGACCAGCGGCTACGCGAGCCAACACCCGCCGCGGGGCCAAAAAGTAGGCAGGCAGGCAGGCCCAACCATCATCAAGAGGCTGCCTGCCATCTTCGTAGTAGTAGAGACGGACGGATAGAGGCCAGCCCAGGCCATCACGACCCGACAAGCCCCTTCGCCTCCTGATTGGTACAGACATGACAGGTGGCACAGTAGAGAGCGTGGTGGCTTTGGTCCCCTGTACCGCCATGCCGGGTCAGAAGAAGAGGCTAACCGCAGACGCTGAAAAGCTAGAGGGGCTGGCCCAGGTTGCCGTAGCTCAGGCGCGCAGCAGCGTTGATATACACGTCGACGGCATGTCACTTCGACCCTCGACAACCCAAGCCAGCCAGCCGGGCAGCTGTCGCCATTGGAGCTGGCAGGCGACGACGTGCCTAGGTGCAGCTGCGATCTCGCTCGGCTCGGCTCTCGACACGCGCTGCAAGGCCAGCCAGCTCTAGCCTGCCGTCCAACGACGTACGCGTACGTCGTCCTGCCAGCAGTCACGGGTTTTGAGGCTTGGACCGACGGAGCCTGCCTGGCCGCGTCGTCGCTTCCTTCCTCTCGTCGACACGCCACCGGCCGGCAAGCGTGTCACGACGAGGGTGCGTGAGCGCGTGCGGCGCCCATGATTTGGTGCTCTAGAACGGTACCGACCGGTATGGCAAGCAAGTCGAGGCTAGGCCAGGTCACCGGTCGAGCTGCCCCATCGCCAGGCAGCGCCAGAGCGATGGGCGGGGACGCAGAAGAGGTGCAGCGACCACCTTCCTAGCCCGACGTTGCTGTGGTCCGACGTCGGCTCCACCAAGTACTGCATGTAGACAGCGCAGCGCATCAAAGCCGTCTAGGCTAGCGCGGCGCCCACGGCCTCGAACCGAGGCAGATTGCGGCAGGCTAGGCCAGGCTAGGCCAGGCTAGGCCACAGTGCAGCGCTCAAGCAAGGCGTATCGCAACGAGCCCCTCGACACACGAGTCAAGAGGCTACGTACTGTGAGTGGGAGGCGCAGGGAAGAGGATGCAAGGAGGTCCTCGTCAGGAAGCCAGCCAGGCTTGCCGCGAAGACCGGCACAGCACCTTATCCCGCCTGGGCTGGGCTCTGACTGGCGAGCTGGCGTCATGCCTGCCATGCGGCGCCACGCTGCGTGCGTCTGCCCAAGCGAGGCGAGGACGCCTTCTCGCCTCGTACGCCGGACGATCCTTGCACTCGATCGGGGATCAAGGATAATGCCCGATTCAACGAGATGAGAAACAATCGGAAGACGGAGAAACTTATGTAATCGTCGAGCAAGGAAGGCTGGACCGGGTCAGGCCCAGCGGAAAACTTTTTTTTCCGAATTGGCGGCGGACCACGCTGCCTGGCTTCCGCCGCTCTCGCTGGGTTAGCCAGACACAGCGCGGGCTGGGCTGCGCTGGGGTGCTGGGCTCAGCCTGGCTCGACCTTGGGCGGTCCAGTCGGCCGCCTCGCCCAACACCCTTCTTCGAGACCATCACCAGCGATCCCCCCTCCAGCAGAGCAGGCCGCCAGCAGTGACAGCAGCAACAGCATCGTCGCCACCACCACCGCACCACCTCCTCAGCCTTCCCTGCAGCACACTGCCCTCGTGTGCCCGGCATCACGACCCACGGCTGGCCCCACGAAGCGGCACCGACTCCCGTCATGGCATCAAATGGCACCGATGCTGCATCGGTAGCTACCCCGGATGCCGCCCAGAGCCTCAACGACGAGGTCCAGGCGCCCACCCATCCCGAGCTCCCATCCGCCCATGCTCTCGCCAACCTCATCGCCTCGGAGCCCGAGAGGTTCGTCCATGGCGACCCGAGCATCGCGCAGCTCTCCGCCCTCGCCCTCAAGCAGCTCTTTGACCTCTCGATAAAGTCAGAGGCGCTCGCGGTCCCCACCATCGGAACCTTCCTCCATTCCATCTTGCCGCAGGAGGAGACAAAGAGCAGGACCCGCTCTTCGTCCAAGCGCAAGCGCGGCGGTAATGCCCGCAAGGCTCCCCCGCCCGAGCCAAAGGGCGAGCACCGGCTCTTCCAGCCCACCCCGCTCGACGAGCTCGTCATCGACGGCATGGACTCCCGCCAGCTCTGGGAGCAGATCGACCTCAAGGGCTTCAAGGTGCAGGGTCTCCTCGACACCGTTTTTGTCAACGAGGGCGGCCAGCCGGACCAGGAAGAGGAAGAGGAGGACGACGAGGCCGGAGACGAGGGCGCCGAGGACGACGACGACGAGGATGAGGATGACAGCCCAGCCGAGCAGCGCGTCAAGCTGAGCGACCTTACCGACGCCGACCTCCGCGCTCTGGGCATCGACCCTGCCCAGCGGGACCAGCTCGCGTTTGACGACAGCGACGATGAGAGCGAGTCCGAGCCCTATGCCGGCGCCTCGGACATCTCGGATGGCGACCCCAATGAGGTCTACTACGAGCCGCTGCGGACCGAGGCAGAGCAGCGGCGGCGCAAGGAGGAGCAGGAGATGGGTGTGCTGCCGCGGCTACGCTCGCAGGTCCAGGATGACGAGGACGACGATGAGGATGATGAAGACGAAGAGGACGCGGACCTCGACGGAGAGGAATCGGAGGACGAGGAAGGGGCCGGGGCCGCGGCGAAGGACAAGAAGGCCTCCCGTAGCATCCTCGACAGCCTCGACGAGCCCGGCAGCAGCAGCGGCGGCCCAGGCGGCAAGGGCAAGCGCCACCCCACCCTCGACGACGACTTCTTCTCCATCAACGAGTTCAACCGGCTCACGGAAGCTCAGGAAATGGCAGAGGCCACCGGCGCCGGCAACGACGACGACGACGAAGACCTTTCGAACCAAGTCGACTACTTCCGCGACATCGATGGACTCGGTGCTGGCGGCGACGATGGTGAAGAAGACGACCTCGGCGCCGGTCCTTCAAGGCCTGGACCCAAGGATCCATCGGAGCTGCACTTTGCCGATTTCTTCCTGCCTCCCTCCAAGGCGGCGTCCTTCCGCGCCAAGGCCGAGCGGAAGGAGAAGAGGAGGGCTGGCGCCGACAAGGGCAAGTCGAAGGCTGAGGACCCGTCGCCGGTGGAAGCAGCCGACTCGGACGCGGACGAGTCGGACGGCGACGACGACGACGAGGATGACGACGAGCCCGAGCGGCCGAGGGCGATTCGATTCCACGACACGGTGGCCATCCGCCGCATCAAGCCGAGGAAGAAGAAGCGCGACGCCGAGCTGACGCCCGAGATGCTTGCCTCGCTCGGCTTCACCGAGGAGGAGGCCGCACGGCTTGCCGAGGAGCAGGCGGGGTTTGGCGATGACGATGACGAGGACGAAGAAGGCGGCGACAGCGACGATGACGACGATGACGAGATGGACGAGGACGGCGGCGACGAAGACGAGGACGAGTATGGCGCCGAGTCCGGATCCGAAGAGGGGATGGACATCGACGAAGATGACGCAGGGGAAGGTGATGAGGATGAGGAGGATGACGACGAGGATGCCGATGACGAGGAGGCGCAGGTCAAGACTGCCCGCCGCGTCGCCGGCGACCTGTTTGCCGACAGCGACGACGAGGGCGACGCGGCGGCCCAACAGTCGACGCACGAGAAGCGCCTCGCGGCGCTCCAGGCCGAGATTTCGCAGCTCGAGGAGGAGAACGTCGGGCAAAAGGACTGGACGCTGCGGGGCGAGGCAACATCCAAGATCCGTCCTCAGGACAGCCTGCTCCAGGAGGACCTCGAGTTTGAGCGCACCGCCAAGGTGACGCCGCAGGTGACCGAGGAGATGACCGAGTCGATCGAGGACATGATCAAGCGGCGCATCCTCGACCGCCAGTTTGACGACGTCGTGCGGCGGCGCGAGCTCGAGGCGCTGCCGTTCCTGCCGTCGCGCCTGCTGGAGCTGTCGGACTCGAAGAGCGCCAAGAGCCTGGCGGAGCTGTACGAGGAAGAGTACCAGGCTGCGCGCGGTGCCGCCGAGGGCGAGGCGCCGCGGATGGCCGAGGTCGACGTCAAGCTGCAAAAGGAGCACGACGAGATTGCCAAGATCTTTGACGACGTGTGCGACAAGCTCGACGCGCTGAGCAACGCCCACTTTACGCCAAAGGCGCCCAAGGCGACGATCCAGACGCTGTCCAACACGCCCGTCGTGTCGATCGAGGAGGCGCTGCCGAGCACGTCATCGTCGGCGACGATGCTGGCGCCCGAGGAGGTCTACGAGCGGCAGCGCCACGCCGCCGCCCTCGAGGGCGACAAGAGCGAAATGACGCCGGCGGAAAAGCAGCGGCTGCACAATACGCTGCGGCGCGAGAAGCGGGCCAAGAACGACCGCATCCAGGACACGCGCCGCGCCCTCGAGCTCGCCGGCCTGCGCCGCGGCGGCAAGTCGGCCACCGAGGAAAAGGCCGACGCCATGCGCAAGCTCGTCGGCAACCGCGGCGTCACCGTCAT